AAAAAAAAAAAAAAAAAAATAGAACTCTGGTATCTAACATTAGAATTGGCAAAGTGAACATGAGTAATTATTTTCTCTGTCTTACTTTTTTTTTTCTATTTGTATCTCAACCCTAAAATTGGACGTTAAAATCTATATCATTTGTTCTACCATGTTGGAGATTATTTTGTACATATTTGCACAAATATGTAAACTCTCGCAGTCTAATTATAGTAAACTGTAAATACATCCGTGAGCAACTAGAGAATTTTCTTCAACGAAAAAGATGTATCAACATACACTCTTGAAATGTTTCCTAACGAAGTACGAAATTTACAAACGTTGTCCCATTCAATGTATTTCCATTCTCAGCTCTCGATTTAAAAGTTTAAAAATTTCATCGTACCAGTAGCTTTATAAATCTTACCAAAATAACAAACCTGCCTATTCACTCTGTCTAATTTACATACATATGTTGAGAAAACACGTAGGAACAGGCTTTCGCCTTGTCCGTAAACATTGTCGCAGAACAAAGACACGATGTGCGTGAAATTACTGGGCGAATTTCAACCGCGAGCAAATAAATCGCGACAGAAATCGCGTTCCGTTCCCCCATTCCCTCGGTTTAAGGTTAAGTTCGCCTTTGTATTACGGCCTTCTGTGCAACAAGTTATCCTTCTATCCCCCACCGTTTCGTCAAATCGCCACGTATCTCACTCCCTCGCGCGCCGATCCTTCTTCCATCGCAGTCCAACGTGCTCGCGCAACCACCGTATCGTTCCGTCTCGTTCCTTTCTCAAGAATATTCCAGTTCCTTCACTCACCTTCAGCGCGCGACGTTCTCCATCCTTCGTCCGCTCCTCGACGCCGAGAAAGCAATTTCCTTCCTCGTTCAGCACAACTTCACCACGTGCTTCTGTCGCACTCGTTTCGCCGATCGGAGGTTAGCACAGGCATGTGCCGCGCATGCGCCAGTGCTACCGTGCGCAGCTCGTGCTGCGCGTACGCCCGGAACAGGTACCCTTTCTTTTCTTTCTCTCTCTCTCTTTCTTTCTTTCTTTCTTTCTTTCTCGCTACCTCTGCACTCGTGTTACTTCCTCCGCCAGTTTTCTTGGCTTTCGGCATGCTTTCCGTCCTCCTTTCGCCTTCCTCCCCTGTTTCATCCTTGTCTGCATCTTTTTTCACAGTACCGTGCGTAAGCTCGTGCTGCGCGTGCGCCACCAAGTACCTATTTTCTCCTCCTCTTTCTTCGTTGCTCGTCACCGAAATCTTCCGTCTCACTTCACCACCAACGAGCTTCGACGATTTCTATCCCGTTCTTCAGCTCGCTGTCCTTTATTCCTCCGATTTCTCTCTATCCAACGATGCGTTCTCCGTCTGTTAGACGACGAGCGCAGCTCGTGCAGAGCTCGTATGCCACGATGAAACACCTACTTTCCGTCCTCTTTCAGGTTACCGTCTGTCCTTGTTGTTGTTCGCCCAGTTCTATCGTCCTGCACGGGTTCCGCCGTCTTTTGCTCTTTGTTTTCTCTCTCTCTCTCTCTCCACCGTTTTACTTTCCTCCGCTAACTAAACCCGCCGCTTCTTCTCGTTGCCGGGTTTTTGTTTTTCTCGCGCACCGTGCGCAGCTCGTGCTGCGCGTACGCCACGACCGTCCTCTTTCTTTTCTCTTTTACTCTCGTTCGTCACCTCGCTAATCGTTCACCCTGCTCTCTTGTCTCGCTGTTCTCGTTTTCCATCCGTTCCTCTTGCTCTTTGGTTTTCCTTTCGCCCGTTCGTTCACGATTCAGCTTTACGATTCGCCTTTCATATGCGTGCGCAATTCGAGCTGAACGCG